TGGTGTGTGGACCTGGGTTCTGGTGTGGACCTGGGTTCTGGTGTGTGCACCTTGGTGTCGGTCAGGCCCAGCCTCTTCATGCTGCTGGGTTTGGGGCTGACGGTGCTGAGCTCCTGCTCGATGGAGGACAGATCGGCCATGAGAGCGTCCAGGTCCACGTTGTCCCCCTGGTTCAGAGCCTCTGCAGACAGGAGGACAACACCATCAGACGGACAACTAACGAGTGTGTGCACCAACAGGAAGTCGTGTCGGACCGTTGATGTTGTAGATGGAGAATCTGTAGGAGAAGTTGGCCATGTTGGTCTCCTGCCTGAGGGGGGCTTTTTGCTGCGGGGGAGGCTCTGGACGTCCATCGTCCAGACTCTGAACCAGAAGGAGACACAGGGACACCATTATATTCTGGTAAGAACTAAAGAGAAGATTAACGTGACTCGTGTCGCTTCTGGACCTGAGTGAGTTTGTCCAGCTCCCCCAACCAGGCTCCAAACATCTTGTCCAGGTCCTGGTCCTCCTTATCGCTGTCCTCTTCTTCTTCGTCCTCCTCCCCCCTGACCTCCACCTCGTCATCTGACAGCTGGTCCATCTGAGACACAGGAGAAAACAAGTCAGAGGATGTTCTGCCACCTGGTGGTCGGTGGTTGGTACTGCAGGAAACTGTTCCTGTGTTGTGAAGCTGAGGAACAGTTTTCAGACTGGAGAGCAGAAAAACAGTTTGGTTTTATTCGTGAGGCACAGAATGAAGAATCAAAGAGGAACGGAGGTGGAGCTGATGATGAGCAGCTTTAATCTGCAGCAGCTCAATAATAAAATGTGTCGCATCATCTTTAAACTTCAAGACCAGCTTCTGATTTTACTTCCTGTCCTCTGATTTTACTTCCTGTCTTCTGATTTTACTTCCTGTCCTCTGATTTTACTTCCTGTCCTCTGTTTCTACTTCCTGTCCTCTGTTTCTACTTCCCATCCTCTGTTTCTACTTCATGTCCTCTGTCTCTACTTCCTGTCCTCTGATTTTACTTCCTGTCCTCTGTCTCTACTTCCTGTCCTCTGATTTTACTTCCTGTCTTCTGATTTTACTT